CTGCCTCCAGAAGCAGTAAATGCTCCAACACTGAAAGTTTTTAAGAAGTGACTGGACAGCCATTTGTCCGAAATGGTGTAGGGTTTCCTGCCTGAGGAGGGGGTTGGACTAGATGACCTCCAAGGTTCCTTCCAACTTTACTACTATTATTACTATTATTAAACTCCTTTCTCTCTACCTCGTTTTTCTGGCCATTTGGTAAAATGTATCCCATGTTCTAAACCAGGGCTAGGCCACCTTGGCTCTTTTATGACTCGTGGACTTCAGCTCCCAGAATTCCTGAGCCAACCATGCTGAGGGGAAAGGGAAAGGTTTCCAAGCTGAGCCATGCTGGCTCAGGAATTCTGGGAGTTGAAGTCCACGAGTCATAAAGCAGCCTAGGCCTAGGCCAGAGGTAGGCAATCTTGGCTCTTTTATGACTTGTGGACTTCAACTCCCAGAATTCCTGAGCCAGCATGGCTCAGCTTGAAAACCTCTCCCTTTGTCCTCAGCATGGCTGGCTCAGGAATTCTGGGAGTTGAAGTCCATGAGTCATAAAAGAGCCACGGTTGCCTACCCCTGTTCTAAAGCAGTGGTTCTCAACCTTTTTATACCAGCGACCCTGGTCATAAGGATGCGCAGCGCATGCGCGGTGCACATGTGTGGCGGCGCCCCATGCGCAGCGCGCATGCACGGCTGCGCGCACGTGCGTGGTGCCGCCAGCTGAGGAAAAAAATGGCGGATCGCGTTGTTTGGCGATCCCGTGAAATGGTTGTTCGACCCCAAATGGGGTCGCGACCCACAGGTTGAGAACCGTTGTTCTAAAGTATTCTGAATCTTCTTTCTCTTTCATTTTCGGTGTCAGTATGTCCATTTCTGGCATGTATTTGTGACAGTTGCAGTCATATGACCACCCCATCTTTTGCCACTTTCTGACCCGCAAAGGGGGAAGCAGCCTTCCCCCATGGTGACGTAATCAAAATACTTGTTTTTGGCAACAGGAATTTTATTTATGACAGCTGCAGTCTCCCAGGATCTTGCTGTGATCCTCTTTTGTGACCTTCTGACAGGCAAAGTCTATGGCAGTGTTTCTCAACCTTGACAATTTTAAGGCATGTGGACTTCAACTCCCAGAATTCCACAGCCAGCAATGCTGGCTGTGGAATTCTGGGAGTTGAAGTCCACATGCCTTAAAATTGTCAAGGTTGAGAAACACTGGTCTATGGGGAAGCCATTTAACAACTGGGTTACTAATTTAACAACGGCGATGACTGACTTAACAAATGAGGCGAGACAAGTCATAAAATGGGGCAAAAGTCACTTAACAAATTTTTCACTTAACAACATAAATTTTGGGCACAGTTGTGGTCGTACCTGGTTGTAAATTGTAAGTTGAGGACTACCTGTATTAGTAAAAAGCAAGATTAGAAACTAAAAATAATAATTTTTTAAAAAGGTCGGGTTCCCTGTCAGAATTATTTATTGCTGCCCCTCAGGTAGGAGCCTGAAACGCAACACATATTGCTCTGTGAATTAAGAATCCCAAAACATCACTCAAACTGAGGATTTAACTTCTTGTTAGTTAGAAAACTTAAATGATCAGAAGTGACTTGAGTAACCCCACATGCATATCAACTCTCCTGCGCGCACTGATGATGTTACCCAGTCAGGTAAAGAAACGTCTGAAAGGAAACCAATCCCAGCAAGAAAGCAGGAAGAAGCCAACATATTGAGTCTACCTGGAGAGGACTAAAGCTACATACACACACACACTCACAAACACACACTCAGCTCTAAAGATGTATAACTGGGGGCAGGGGAGGAGGCTCCATCTTTGGTTCTTTGCACAAACTAGAAAGGAACATTTCCAATAAAATTGTTAGGACTGGACCGGAAGCAATACAGACGTGGGATGTGCATCCACACAACACACAGAATCAAAAGCAAATGAAGCATAGGATGCTTCAGGAGTAGGCAACCTTGGCTCTTTTGTGACTCGTGGACTTCAACTCCCAGAATTCCTGAGTCAGCCATGCTGAGGGGAAAGGGAGAGGTTTCCAAGCTGAGCCAAGCTGGCTCAGGAATTCTGGGAGTTGAAGTCCACAAGTCATGAGGGGGGCCATAGTTCCCTCATGCTGGCTCAGGAATTCTGGGAGTTGGTCTACGAGTCATAAAAGAGCCAAGGTGGCCTACCCCTGCTTTAGTGTGACAGGGCGAACCGGAGGGATAATTCCTGGTTATCACCGACTCAGTTCCAAAACTAACCAAGGCTCAGAGTCACAGAGTCCATCATCCTCGGTTAGTTTTATCCCCGAATTCCAGAACTGATCCAACTGCCTGAACTTCACATGACACAACTGAACCCTGAATGAACGCCAGTGAGTTATCACTGCCACATAATCCCAATCTGGGAGGAGATCGTACAGGCAGTCCTCGATTTACAATGGTTCATTTAGTGACCGTTCAAAGTTACGACGCCACTGAAAAAAAGAGACTTAACAGACCGTTTTTCACACTTGATCCCCACGATCATGTGATCACAATTCAGGCACGCTGACAACCGACTCCTATTTATGACGGTCGCAGGGTTCCTAGGGTTAGGTGATCCCCTTTTAGGATCTTTCTGACGAGCAAAGTCTGTGGGGAAGCCAGATTCACTTAACGACCATGTCATTCAGTTAACGACTGCAGTGACTCATTTAACAACCGAGGCAAGAAAATAGGGCAAAATTCACTTAACAAATGTTTCAGTTAGCAACAAACGTTTGGGGCTCAATTGTGGTCATAAGTCGAGGACTACCTGTACTGTGGATAATTTAGGTTGCCACAGAAGGAAGCTAAGGAGAGAGAAGAAAGAAAGAAAGAAAGAAAGAAAGAAAGAAAGAAAGAAAGAAAGAAAGAAAGAAAGAAAGAAAGAAAGAAAGAAAGAAAGAAAGAAAGAAAGAAAAAGAAAGGAGTCAAGTTATTCTCCAAAGCGCCTGAAGGCAGGAAAAGAAGCAACGGATGGAAACTAATCAAGGAGAGAAGCAACCTAGAACTAAGGAGAAACTTCCTGACAGTCAGAACAATTAACCAGTGTAACTACCTGCCTCCAGAAGCGGTGAATGCTCCAACACTGGAAGTTTTTAAGAAGAAACTGGACAGCCATTTGTCTGAAATGGTGTAGGATTTCCTGCCTGAGCAGGGGGTTGGACTAGATGACCTCCAAAGTCCCTTCCAACTTTATCATTATTATTATTATTATTAAAGAAAGAAAAAGAAAAAAAGAAAGAAAGAAAGGAGAAAGGAACAGAAACAAAAAGAAACAAAAAGAGAAAGAAAAGGGAAAGAAACAAAAAGAAAGAAAGAGGAGAGAGAAAAAAAGGAAAAAAACAGAAAGAAAAAAGAAAGAAACAGAAAGAAAAAAGAAAAAGAGAGTGAGAGAAATAAAAAGGGAAAGAAAGAGAAAGAAACAAAAAGAAAGAGATAGAAAGAAAGAAAGAAAGAAAGAAAGAAAGAAAGAAAGAAAGAAAGAAAGAAAGGACGGTGGAACTTCTGGATAATATGCAAAGGGCTGTCAGAGACCTCTCTGGGGGCGGGGGGGAAGAGAGGTGAACTTCTCTTCGTGCATTGACCCTTTTTGCTGTGATTAGCTCTCTGAACCTGCGCAATAAACCATTTCCTTTCCCAAAAGAGCTGACTCAAGTCTCTCATTTCTACAACACTCTGGGGGGGGGGGAAGAGAGGTGGACTTCTCTGGGGGGGGGGGAAAGAGAGGTGGACTTATCACTCACAGCACCCGGGGATAGACAAGAACCGCTGCAGAAGGGAAGTCTACTGAGGAACATCCAAGCTTGAATAAGTACGAATTCCTTGATCAGAAGAAGAGCCACTAAACTGAGATAGCTCTACAGATTCACCATCACCGCAGCTTTGCAAGCCAAGGTTGGCCAGCCATTTGTCTTGGGGGGGCTTCGAAGATTCCCCCTCTGGCCAGGAGGTTGGACCAGAAGACCCCCCCCTCCCCCAAATCCCTTTCCACCCTAGGAGTCATTGATTCCCCCCCTCCCGCCCCCCCCGTTTGCAATCCAAGATTTCTTAAAGAGAAAAATACAGCCGTGAGATATTGTTAGGGAAGCTGTCAGGAAGTTGGCGGGAAGACTTCTCTCGAACCCTGAAACTCGGCCCAGGTGGTGGGGGGGAGAAAGATACTGGAAGAGCTTCAAAGGGAATCGGCTTTAATTAACTCCCCTCTGACCGAAGCTGCGAAGTTTCCTCGCACAATTTACCAGCTCTTCTACAAGGAGTTACCAACCGCTTGTTTAGTGACCGAAGTTACAGCGGCACTGAAAAAAATGGCCTTTTTTCACATTTAACGACCGTCACAGCATTCCCCCACGGTCACGTGATCAAAATTCAGACGCTAGGCCAGTGATGGCGAACCTTTTAGAGACCGAGTGCCCAAACTGCAACCCAAAATCCACTTATGCATCTTCGGGTACCAGGTGGGTGTGGCCCATTGGGTGGGCATGGCTGCAGTGGTAATGGCAGACTGGGTGGGACTAAAAAGTTCAATCAATCAATTCCAACTTTGCAAGTGTCACGTGTCTGACTAATGAAACACTTCAAAGAACTTTCAGGCATGGTTTAACCTAAAAAAGCCTTTATTAGCGTAGAGGCGTGTCAGCACGGCATAATGGATGCCAAGATCTGAATTTCCCTTCCCTCGGCACATAACATTCCAGGCATTTCCCCTCCCCTATTTTGGGGTCATGATTCACATCTTCCAATTAACCTGGAGGGCAAAGATTCACTTCCGTTCCTGTTCCTTTTCCCGGGCTTTCCTTACTAATCTCCTCCCTTTCTCTGTCATCTGAATTAACTCTAAAAATACCAGACAGTTCTGCATATTTTGTCAAAGCAAGAATATTCAATATTAGCAGCGTTGACAGCAAGATCTTTTTTTTTCCCCGTGAGAAGTTAAAATTGACTGATTGATTGAACCTTTTTTTTTTTTTTGCACAAGGCGGCGGAGGCCTAAAGCGAAAATGTTTTATAAAACCCAGTTGAAGGCCTAGGACTGGGGCGATGGCGCGCGTGCCCACAGAGAGGGCTCTGAGTGCTGCCTCTGGCACCCGTGCCATAGGTTCGCCACCACTGGGCTAGGCAATTGAGTGATATTTGCAGGGTCCCGGAGCCCACGCGATCATCTTTTGAGGCCTTCCGACGAGCAAAGTCATTGGGGAAGCCCGTGGAGAGTCTCCAGGTCATGGTTGCCCCAAAGGTGTTTTTTTTTTTTCAAGAGGACTTCCTTGTTTTTCTTTTGAAGACATTTCGCTTCTCGTCCAAGAAGCTTCTTCGGCTCTTGATCGGATGGTGGAGAGATGGAAGGATTTATCACCAGCTGTCTGCAAGGAGTATAAATCCTTCCATTTCCCCCCCCCACCACCATCCAGTCAGAGCTGAAGAAGCTTCTCGGACGAGCAGCGAAACGTCTTCCAAGCGAAACAAGAAAGTTGTGAAAAAAAGCACCTTTGGGACAAGGGGGCAGCCAGCGTCACGGAACAACCATGTTACTAACTTTTAACAACTGCAGTCCTTCACTTCACAAATGTGGCAACAAAGGTTATCAAAGGAGGCAAAACTCACTTAACGCCTGTCTTGCTTAGCGACGGATATTTGGGCCTCCGTGGTGGTTGTAAATTGAGAACCGCCTGTAGTTACTACAACGACAGGGCTTCCTGAAATCTCTGCTGTTATTGCCTTGGTCTTGCCAACTAAACGGGGCCTAAAATGCCTCATTCCCAGACTGCAGAGAGAAAAGCTGAGTTAGTGTGGCGGGAACTGTACTTCAGAGGGGTGGGAAAAAGAAGTGATACAAATGGAAGTAGTTTTGGGCCTCTTCAGAGTTGCATCCCAACCCAAGATGGACCCCCAAACCCCTCAAGTCAACCCACTTCTGACATATCTATATGCACAAAGGCTTGTGTGACCATAGATATCGCTCTACTGCCGTTAACGGCAATTCTATCGTGTTTCTCATCAACTAGGGAAAAAAACAAAAGACACAAAAAAACTGCTACCGGCCCATCGCGCGCCCTCTCAATGGTGGTGCTTGATAAAGTTAGAGTTATCGCTGAACCTCTTCCCGCAAACCGAGCACTCGTAGGGCTTCTCGCCCGTGTGAATCCGCTTGTGGACGATGAAGTTGGAGTAGTCGTTGAAACGCTTCCCGCAATCCAGGCACTTGTAGGGTTTCTCGCCCGTGTGAATGCGCTTGTGACGGGTGAGGCTGGAGCCCGTGTTGAAGCCCTTCCCGCAGTAAGAGCACTTGTACGGCTTCTCCCCCGTGTGGACCCGCTGGTGGATGAGGAAGGCGGCCCGGCTGACGAAGCTCTTCCCGCACTCGGAGCAGTTGTACCACCGGTCACCGGAGTGGGTCCGCTCGTGGGCGATGAGGTTGGAACGGCGCCGGAAGACCTTGCGGCAAATCAGGCAGGTGTTGTCCGGCTCGCTGGGAAAGAGGCTTGGCTGCAGGACGCTCTCGTCCAAGTCCTCGTAGGTCCCCTGGGAATTGATGAATTTGCCCTCCGCCTTCTCCACGCTGCTCCAGTACAGGGTTTCAGAACCTTCCTCCGGATTGGGAGAGCAAGGGACACCGGGCTCGCCTTTCCCGGACCACTCCCAACGCGATTCTCGGTCCTCGCTCTCCGCTTCGCAGTACTCGTCATCATCTACACAAAGGGATATATAGAGATATAGCCATGTACATTGAATCAATCAATCAATCTGCTGGCATCCTCGTTCTCTACCCTGCATTTCTTGCCATAGATGTACAGATATATTTATATCCACATAAACTGAGTGAAAGAATAAATTGATCTGCTGCAATCCTCGTTCTGTATCTCACATTTCTCATTATCTATATATTTTTATAAACATGTACCTTAGTAAATTGAATCAATCTCCTTGAATCTTCATTCTCTAACCTGCATCATTTTCATATATGCACGTGTATATGTTCATATACATACACACACATGTATATGTAGATGTATACAAAATGTATATTTATCTACATCTACATCCATCTATCATCTATCCATCCATCCATCCATCCATCCATCCATCCATCCATCCATCCATCCATCCAATTCCTGACCGTTAGAACAACTAACCAGTGAAAGAATCTGCCTCGGGAAGATGTGAATGCTCCAACACTGGAAGTTTTTAAGAAGAGATTGGACAATTATTTGTCTGAAATGGTGTAGGACAGTGGTGGCGAACCTATGGCACGGGTGCCAGAGGCGGCACTTGGAGCCCTCTCTGTGGGGACCCATGCTGTTGCCCCAGCCTTGCCTCCCCCCGCAACCACCTCCTCTCCAACAGCCCCCCTGCAGGAGAGTCGCCCTCGAGCGTGGCCCACACGGAGCAGCGCAGCCAAGGACATGGCAGCCAGGCAGTGTAGACAAGACTCTGCCCTCAGGCCCTGTCACGCACAGTTGATGCTGCAGGCCGCGGGCAGAGAGTGTGGCCACCATGGCGCTGCTGGGCTGCCTGGGCGATCTGCGGTGGGTCCTGGAGGCAGTGAGTGGTTCTGTGGGCAGGCAGGGCAGGGGATGGGGGGGGGCAGAGCAGGGGCGGGGCAGGTGGTGGAGCGGGGCCAGTTTTTGGGCACTCGGTGTCTAAAAGGTTCGCCATCACTGGTCTAGGGGTTCCTGCCTGAGCAGGGGGTTGGACTAGATGACCTCCAAGGTCCCTTCCAACTTCTATTATTATTATTATTATTACTACCATCATCTATCTATCCATCCATTTATCATCTATCTATCTATCTATCTATCTATCTATCTATCCATCCATCGATCCATCTATCATTTATCTATCATATCATATCATATCATATCATCCATCCATCCATCCATCCATCCATCCATCCATCCATCCATCCATCCATCCATCCATCTATCTATCTATCTATCTATCTATCTATCTATCTATCTATCTATCTATCTATCTATCTATCGGTAGTCCTCAACGTGTCAACGCTGCAAATATTGTATATTCTTGCTTTTGACAACATGCAGAATTGTCTGGTAAATATGGGGTTAATAAAGAGCAGAAGGGGCGTTGGGGGTAAAGCCCGGGAAAGAAAGGGGAAGAAAACATTTGACCTTCACACTAATTGGATAGTGTGAGATATGATGGCTAATTTAGGGAGGGAACACGCTGATAATTTAACTGCTCAGAGGAAGAGAACTTGGATCCTAGCATCCCTCCCTTGTGCCTGTGCTGACATTTTGTAACATTAAAAGACTTTAAGGAAAATAAATGCCTGGAAGTTCTTTGGAATGTTTCATTAGCCGGAACCACATCACAACGTATGACCACAATTGAGTCCAAAATTTATGTTGTTAAGTGAGAAAGTTGTTAAGTGAGTTTTAAACCATTTTACAACTTTTCTTGCCACGTTTGTTAAGTGAATCACTGCAGTTGTTAAAACTTCGATCACATGACCATGGGGGCAATGCTGCAACGGTCATAAGTGTGAAAAATGGTCATAGGTCACTTTTTTCACTGCCATTGTCATTTCGGTCACTAAATGAGCCGTTGTAAGTCAAAGACTATCTGTAAATAAAGAACTTCCCGCCTCACAGCACTTTCCCCAAATCTTTCCTTTCAGAAGTTGCCCAGCCCCCCCCACGGCCTCACCCAGCAGCACCACGTGACGGTCGCTCTCCCGCTTCGTTTCTCTGAGGGAGGGCCTCTGCCAGCTTTCCAGGGGGGCCTTGGCAGTCAAATGGTCCTTCTCCAGGAGGCTGATGGCCTGAAAGAGGAAAGAGGCCTGTGATGGAAGGAGCCCCAGCCCTTCGGTTCAGCCAGACCAGGGGTAGGCCGCCTTGGCTCTTTGATGACTGGTGGACTTCAACTCCCAGAATTCCTGAGCCAGCACGGCTCAGCTTGGAAACCTCTCCCTTTCCCCTCAGCATGGCTGGCTCAGGAATTCTGGGAGTTGAAGTCCACGAGTCATAAAAGAGCCACGGTTGCTTATACCTGGTCCATAGTATCTTCAGCAGCCACGGATGGATTAACTGATTGATTTAATTCAGGGGTCTTCAAACTTGGCCCTTTTATGACTTGTGGACTTCAACTCCCAGAATTCCTGAGCCAGCCATGGCTCAGCTTAGAAACTTCTCCTTTTCCCCTCAGCATGGCTGGCTCAGGGATTCTGAGAATTGAAGTCCATGAGCCATAAAAGAGCCCAGGTGGGCTACCCCTGAGCCGGACCGTTCAGCCAGACCCTTTCAGAGCAAGCCTTCTTGATGCCTTTGGATAAATACTGACCCTGAGATTTTCCTAGCCATGTTGTGAAAGGCAGTTTCCCATCGAAAGAAAGAAAAAGAAAGAAAGAAAGAAAGAAAGAAAGAAAGAAAGAAAGAAAGAAAGAAAGAAAGAAAGAAAGAAAGAAAGAAAAAGAAAAGAGACGGGGGAGGGAGGGAGCGAGGGAAGGAAGGAAGGAGGGAAGGACTGGCTGCCTAAAGTCACCCACCCGACCTCATGCCTAAGGCAGAACCAGAACTCAAGATTTTCTGGTACCTTGGCTGGGGCTTTTTGTCCCCTGCACCAAACTGGCTCTTCCCACAATGCATTTGCCAAATGGGGAGCTTGTTCCCTTCGGCTCTTCTAACTTCCAATTATTTTTTCTATAACCTTAGTTTTCTCTCTCCGTCCTGTCTGTCTGCCTCCCCTCCTTCTCTTCCTTTTTCCTCCCTCCATCCCTCCTTCTTTTTCCTTTTTTCTTTCCTTTTCTTTCCTCTTTCCCTTCCCTTTTTTCCTTTCCCCCCTTCCCTTTCCTTTCCTTCCTCTCCTTCCCGCTTTCCCCTCTCCCCTTCCCTTCCCTTCCGCCCATCCCAATCCACCCTCCCATCCCCATCTACCTCTCCAGAGACAGCCTTGCCTCTCTTCCCTTCTTCCCACCCACCAAGAAACACACACACACACACACACCCCACAGGCATCCCTCACCTGCTCTTCTTGGGCTTTGCTCTCCTGCTCCCGCAGCAGGAAATCCTCCGCCAGGATCACGGCCTGGGTGCAAGTCAGAGGGCGACACTCCCGCACCCATCCCTGCAATTCCCGGGGCAGGATGGCCAGGAACTGCTCCAGCACCACCATCTCCAGGATCTGCTCCTTGGTGTGCTGCTCCGGTTTCAGCCACTGGTGGCAGAGCCTCCGGAGGTGGCGGCAGGCTTCCCGAGGCCCGTCGGCATCCTGGTAACTGAACTGCCGGAAGAGGCCGCGCTCGTCGTTCCAGCTGACGGCCTGCTGGCCCAGGCGGATCCTGGCACCTTTCTGACTGTGGAGCCTCTTCGGGGGCTCCATCGCGTGAGCTTCTCCGCTCAGGCTGATGGTGAGCTGGGTCCCTCTCTCGGCTCGAGGCTGCTGGGGGCAACCGGGCCTCCCTCGGAAGGTTCCGGAAGGGCGAGGGTCGCTTCTGGGCAGAGGCATCCGAGACTGTGGGTTTCCCCCTTCCAAAGAAGGCGCTTCCAGAACCTTCAGGAATTCCTGCAGCTGAGACTCCCACCGTTGTTGCAGGCTCCTGCAGGGCTCCGGGGTTGTTTTCTCAGGATCAGTTCTCCCCCAGAAATCCTGGATGCGCCCGGCGGGAATCAGGCGGGAGCCCGGGCCTACTCCCTTCTCTTTTATGGCCCCCGCCAGGAGCCGCTCTCCCATCTGCGTCCCTTTCCCTTGCTCGGCCTTCAAAGGACTCTGAGTTGATTTCTCCCTGAGCTCGGCAGCCATTTTCTTTCTCCGGGGCTACCCTGGACTGGATCGATGCTTCTGCTCGGCGATGCCCCTGTCTCAGATGAAAATGGGCACGGACATCAGAACCAAAGCCATTTAAAGGCCAACAAGATTCCCCCCCCCAAAAAAAAACCCCACACAAATGAAGAATATAAGAATTTGAGACCAAAGCTGGCAACTGAGAGGACTAGGCAAGGCTCTGGCCCTCACTCAATTCCTTTTTTCTAAAAAAAAAATAATAATAGATTTTTTGTATTACCCTTCCAATTATGATAGTCTTAGCCAACTGGGGTGCTCTTGAGATAACCAGATCTGGCCTCCCCTCCCAAACTCTGGAAGTTGAAAACTGTGTTCCAGTATTTGAGGGGCTGCCCCAAAGTAGAAGGAGTCAAGCTATTCTCCAAAGCAGGACAAGAAGTAATGGATGGAAACTAACCAAGGAGAGAAGCAACCTAGAACTAAGGAGAAACTTCCTGACAGTTGGAACAATTAACCAGTGGAACAACCTGCCTCCAGAAGCGGTGAATGCTACAACACTGGACGTTTTTAAGAAGAGACTGGACAGCCATTTCTCCGAAATGGTATAGGGTTTCCTGCCTGAGCAGGGGGTTGGACTGGATGATCTCCAAGATCCCTTCCAACTTTAATAATAATAATAATTATAATAATAATAATAGTAGTAGTAGTAGTAGTAGTAATAATCTACTGTACCGGGGACTTTAAAGTGGCCTGTATGGCATTCTTCTTAACAAATTTATCACAATTATTTCAGGAACAATCATTATCCAAAGAATTTTCTGTGCAATACTGTCTCTGAATGGCACATTAAGCAATAAATCAGCAGTTCTCAACCTGTGGGTCGGGACCCCATTTGGGGTCGAACGACCATTTCAGCGGGGTCGCCAAACAACACAGTCCCCCATTTTTTCCCCCTTTTCCTTAGCTGTGCTACTCCCTTTTATTCTATTGGCTTTCAAAAGCCAATAGGAATTGTCCAGGCTGTCTCTGCCCTGCTGAGCCCGCCAAAAGTCCCATTCTGCAAATGGTACTGCACCAGTTGAGTAGTCCTCGACTTACGACCGGTTGGGGGTCGCGGCATTAAAAAGGTTGAGAACCACTGCAATAAATCATTTCCATAAAATAATACGGACAAGTTTCTGTTTCCCATCTTTACAGGATTAGTTTTTTTCTCAACTCAATATCGGTATCATTAATGAACCGATTAAATAGTAAAGGTGCAACACTCATCTTGATTTCACCCCCTTAAAAATCTTGAGTATCTGTCAGGTACATTCCTTCCCTCCCCCCCCCTTTTCCTCACAACTGCCTTGCAAGGTAGGTTTGCTGAGAAGGAGCAACTGACACAAAGTGAGTGAGGTACCACAGCTAAGGAGAGATGTAAACCAGGCTCTCTTTAGTACTAATCCAGGGGTCTTCAAACTTGCCCCTTTTATGACTTGTAGACTTCAACTCCCAGAATTCCCCAGCCAGCATACTTTATGACTTGTGGAATTCTGGGAATTGAAGTTCACAAGTCATAAAAGAGCCAAGTTTGAAGACCCCTGCTTTAAGGCTTGTGGACTTCAACTCCCAGAATTCCCCAGTCAGCATATTTTATGATTTATGGATTTCAACTCCCAGAATTCCCCAGCCAGCATACTTTATGACTTGTGGATTTCAACTCCCAGAATTCCTCAGCCAGGCACACTGGCTGAGGAATTCTGGGAGTTGAAGTTCACAAGTCATAAAAAAGCCAAGTTTGAAGACCCCTGCTTTAAGGCTTGTGGACTTCAACTCCCAGAATTCCCCAGCTAGCATATATTAGGACTTGTGGACTTCAACTCCCAGAATTCCCCAGCCACAAGTCTTAAAGTATGTTGGCTGGGGAATTCTGGGACTTGAAGTCCACAAGTCTTAAAGTTGTCACTTTTGGAGACCCCCTGCTCTATTTCACTCAGCCCATTCCAAGACAAACTCTAAAGTGCAGGGCTCTGCAGCTGAAACAACCCCCCCCCCACCATCCACCCCCGGCTCCATCTTTCTCGGCTCTTCCAGATCGGCTGCTTTGGGGAGGAGGGGTGTGTGTGAAAGGGACTCCACCCTGCGGAAGAAATCTGGAGACTCTGAAAGCCCTTCCTTTTTAGTAAGCCACGATCGCCACAAGCCGCGATCGGCAGTCTGCAACCTCAGCTAAGCTTTTCGTAGAACTTTCCACCTTCCTCCCTTTAAATCGCTTTGCGGGGTGTTTTTCTCGCGCTCCTATCCCCACCCCACCCCACCCCACTCCCGCCCTAGATCCCGTTTTTTTTTTCCTTTGCCTTTTTTTTCTTTTCTTTTTTTTCTTTTTGCAAACATTCCTCCATCCTTGCATTTCAGAAAAGGATGCAGCCCGTGTCTCCCCCGTTTTTCTCTCCCCATTTTTAAAACCTTGGTGAGACTCCTCCAGCGAAGGAGCGCGACAGCTGGCGGCTCCCCCTTGTTCCCTTCCCATGATTGCTACTAGCAGCTTGGCCTGCTTCCCCGGGAAGGCAAACTTCCTGAACCTGAACCCGGGGCCGGGCCGCCCCTGGCCCGGGCCATCCAAGCACAGGAGCCCCGCCCGGTAAGCCAAGTTGGCAACCTCCAGGCTCCTAGGCCGGGAAGGCTCCCCCGCCCCGCTGCCCTTTTGCACTCACCCGATCTCCCTCCCACGAGCTGGGAAATTCAAAGGCCACTTTCCCACGGGAGGCGGGGCCGGAAGTGACTGGAACTGTTTACATCCCGCCTTCCCCGCCACAACTTCCTGGCCTCTCTAGGAAGCGGGACGGGGGAGGGGGGCGAGGTGGGGGTGGATGGAAAAGGGGAAAAGAGGAGCCTGTAATGCAGGGGTCTTCAAACTTGGCCCTTTTATGCCTTGTGGACTTCAACTCCCGGCTGGCTGAAGCATTCTGGGAGTTGAAGTCCACAAGTCCTGAAAGAACCAAGTTTGAAGACCCCTGTCTTAAAGTATGCTGGCTAGGGAATTCTGGGGGTTGAAGTCCACAAGTCATGAAATGGCCAAGTTTGAAGACCCCCTGCCGTAATGGCTTCCCTTCTTTAAAAAGGATCTCATGTTTAATGTGGAATTGATACATGGCTGGCTGATTCACTGAACAGCCGTTTGACTAACTTCACAACTGCAGTGATTCACCTAACAACTGGGTCAAGAAAGGTCGCAAAACGGGGCAAAATTAACTTAATATCTCGCTTAGTGACATACATTTTGGGCTCCTTTGTGGTCGTAAGTCGAGGACTATTTGTACTTGGCTGGCTGGGGACTTCTGGGAGTTGAAGTCCACGCATCAGTTGAGAAAAACATTAATAATAATAATAATTAATAAATAAATAAATAAATAATAATGATAATAATAATAGAAGAAGTTGGAAGGGACCTTGGAGGTCATCGAGTCTAACCCCCTGTTCAGGCAGGAAACCCTACCTACACCATTTTGGACAAATGACTGTTCGGTCTCTTCTTAAAAGCTTCCAGTGTTGGAGCATTCACCGTTTCTGGAGGCAGGTTGATCCACTGGTTAATTGTTCTCACTGTCAGGAAGTTTCTCCTTAGTTCTAGGTTGCTTCTCTCCTTGATTAGTTTCCATCCGTTGCTTCTTGCCCTGCCTTCAGGCACTTTGGAGAATAGCTTGACTCCCTCTTCTTTGGGGCAGCCCCTGAGATATTGGAACACGGCTATCATGTCCCCCCTCGTCCTTCTCTTCATTAAACTAGACATACCCAATTCCAGCAACCGTTCCTTATGTGTTTTAGCCTCCAGTCCCCTAATCATCTTTGTTGCTCTTCTCTGTACACTTTCTAGAGTCTTAGGGGTGGGGAGACTTAAGTTTCATTTAGTCACCATTCAAAGTTACGACGGCACTGAAAAAAGTGACTGATGGCCATTTTTCACTTGAGTGTTACAGCATCCTCATGCTCACATGATAAAGATTGCTTGGCAATTGACTCATATTTATGACGGTTGCAGTGACCCAGGGTCATGTGATCCCCTTTTGTGACCTTCTGACAAGCAAAGTCAATGGGGAAGCCGGATTCACTTAATAATCGGGTTACTAACTTAACCGGCTGCAGTGATTCACTTAACAGCTGTGGCAAGAAAGACAGTTTGTTAAAGACTGTCTTGCTTAGCAATGGAAATTTGGGGGCTCAGTTGTGGTCATAAGTTGAGGACGATCTGTAGACATGCATGCACCCCACAGAAGCTCCGTGGGGAGGGGATTTGGGCAGGTCTCCTTTCTCAGCCCCAGAACCAGCGAGGAATTGCAGAGAAAGGTTAGCCTAAGAGTGGGGAGACCACAATTCTGGGGATTTTAGGCTAGTGACTCTAGTTTAGTGTTTCTCAACCTTGACAATTTTAAGGCATGTGGACTTCAACTCCCAGAATTCCACAGCCAGCATTGCTGGCTGTGGAATTCTGGGAGTTGAAGTCCACATGCCTTAAAATTGTCAAGGTTGAGAAACACTGCTCTAGTTCATTTAATGACCACCATAAAAAAGGATGACTGAAGGCCAGAACGGGGAGGCTCCATTACATTCGTAACTCAAGGACTACCTGTAACATTCAGGAGCAGATCAGAGGCCTCCCTCATTCACTGGATCAGGGGTAGGCAACCTTGGCTCTTTTATGACTCGTGGACTTCAACTCCCAAAATTCCTGAGCCAGCCTGGCTCAGCTTGGAAACCTCTCCCTTTCCCCTCAGCATGGCTGGCTCAGGAATTCTGGGAGTTGAAGTCCACGAGTCACAAAAGAGCCAAGGTGGCCTACCCCCCCCCCCAGCTAGTCCTTCCCTCTCAGCCTCAGAGAAGGGAGGAATTCAGATATCAAAGGACCCCTGTATAAAAATGATGGAAAATACTGAACTTCTCAATATAATTAATCCAGAAGTGGTGAATGCTCCAACCCTGGAAGTTTTTAAGAAGAGACTGGACAGCCATTTGTCTGAAATGGTGTAGGGGCCCTGCCTGAACAGGGGGTTGGATTAGATGATCTCCAAGGTCCCTTCCAACTTTATTATTATTATTAATGATGGATCATCGCACAGTCAGCCAGATGTTCAGACTGGATTTGGCATTTTGTCTACCTATCGAGTCCTTACCCAGGACCTGGGATAGGCAGATGTGGATGTTTGATGGTATTACAGATATCGTCGCAGGATGGAAGCAGTTCCTAGTAAGGCTGCCTTTTGCAATTGACTAATAGCGAATTTGTCAATGCCAATGGTGTTCAAGTGGTGCTCCAGTTGTTTTGGGATTGCACCCAAGGAGCCTATTACTATTGGTACTACCCTTGCTTGCTTTTGCCACAGTCTTTCTATTTCTATTTGTAGGTCTTTGTATTTTGTTATCTTCTCCAGTTCTTTCTCTTCTATTCTGCTATCTCCAGGCACTGCCACGTCCACTATCCAGACTTTTTTGTCTTTCTTATCGACAATTGTTAAGTCTGGGGTGTTATGTTGCAAGTGCTTGTCTGTTTGAATTCTGAAGTCCCAGAGCAGTTTAATTTTATCATTTTCTATGACTTTCTCTATTATTATTATTATTATTAAATCTATATTTTACAAGCGATAGCAGTGGATTCACACCACGTAAAAATTCCCCGTTGTCACGGTTAGTATTAGGTGGTGCGCAAAGTTTTTTTTTAAAAAAAAAAAATTCCTTTTTTTCCAATCATGAACTCATGGAACTGAGTTGAGAAACAGTGTTGCAAAAAGCAATTAAGTCTAAAAAAAGTTCAACCACTTCCTTAAATACCGTAGTTTTTGAAGGAGCCTGTGTATTTTAGGTCTGTGTCTTAGTATGTGTCAACTTGCCCCACTTGTGATTTGCGTAACACATCTGCTTCTTATGTACTGTCTTGATTTTCCAAGAATGGATTACCATGAAGCTAGCCAAACTGGTTCTAAATCAAATTTACACTTAACGGGCAAAGCTTATGCAATACTATGAAACTCCCCATGGAGAAATTAAAAGGGAAAGCGTCATTCTGAGGCTGTAACTACACATCTACTAATCAACCTAACGCGGTGTGGATTTTCCTTCTGGAACAGCCTCTCCCTAGAGATCCCTCTGTCTCCCCTGCACCAGTGATGTTCCAAGATTACTTGAAAACCTGGTTGTTTCTCCAGGCTTTGGGGCAAGGTGGCTATGGAGACCCCATCAGAGTTGCTGTCTGGTATGTTATGTGTGGTGTTGTTTGCTTTTTACCAGACACACATTATTTCTTTTCTCCATTTTGCTTTTATTACAGTGTAATCTGCCCAAAGTCAGCTGAGATGAGCAACCTCTAAACCAGGGGGGTCAAACTCAATTTCATTGAGGGCCGCATCAGCACTGTGGTTGCCCTGGGGGGGGAGTGGGGGTGGCCAGGGTGGGGGTGGCCTACTGGGTGGGCCTGGATGGAGGAAGTGTGGCCTACGGGGTGGGGGTGGCCAGCTCGACATCATTTGCATCAAGGGGGCCTGTGCGGGCCTGGGCAGGAGTGGGACAGATCTGAGGGTCTCTGGCAGAAAGGGGTGGGACCAGGGCAGAGCCCATCAAGCCAGATATGTGAAGTAGGCGAGGGCCATTTGCTGGCCACTTCCAGGCGATGGTGCATTTCTTCATTCCTCACAAAAGGTGACACCTCCCCAGCATGCACCCAGGGAGTGGGGCCGACGCAGCAGGGGCTGGTTCCTCGCTGTTTCCAGACGGCCTTGTGGAGCTAAGACTGAATGCGTTTCAACCTAGATGGCCACCACAAAATTGTACATTGGCTCCCGGCCGGCCTGGGCCAGGGCCAAGGCAACAGGGGCCGTTCCCTCACTGTTTCCAGGATGGCTTTGCGGGCCACTTGAAACCACTTCGCGGGCCGCATCTGACCCCCGGGCCTTGTGTTTGACAGGTCTGCTCTAAACTGAATTAAGCAAGCAAACAAAGAACAAGAGCTATTTATTACTACAGTACCACAGTACTACCCACCAATCAAATCTTCCTCTCCTCAAAATAACAAGGAATGTTTACATCCTACAGGCTTATTTCCTAGAAATGTTCAGTAGTCCTCAACATAGAACAAGATTGTTTAGTGGCTACCCTCCCATGGAAAAGCCTGCCTCGTGGTAAATTCTCCTTCACTGGAGATCTTGAAACAAAGCCTGGTTCTCCATTTGCCAAAAAATGTTCTAGCAGCTCTTGTCCTAAAGCAGAAGGTTAGACTAAATGACCTCTGAGGTACCTTCTGCTCTAGTGTTTGACTCAGCAGACAATCCTATAGTGTTCAAGACTGCTTTGTATCTCATAAAGATGGCTATAATGGCAACTAGGGTTAAGAGCAGGGGATTGGACTAGAACAGGGGTCTTCAAACTTGGCCCTTTTATGACTTGTGGACTACAACTCCCAAAATTCCTCAGCCAGCATAGGCTGGAATTCTGGGAGTTGAAGTCCACAAGTCATAAAAGGGCCAGGTTTGAAGACCCCAGGAATAGAAGTTCGCCATAAATTATATGGCAGCTATATAAATTATGTAGCTCAGTGGCTGAGTACGTGTTTTGCCTGGAGAAATTTGCTGCGTTCATTTAATGACTTCTTAAAAAAAAAATTGGAAAATTGCATAGGCTGGCTGGGGAATTCTGGGAGTTGA